AGGTAACTAACTAGGTAGTTGGCTAATTAGGTAACTAACTAGGTAGCTGGCTAACAAAATGGGTAGGTAACTAGGTAGGTAAATACTAGATAAACAGGATTCTCTCTCCAAACTTGTGCTAAAGATCCAGATGTTGTTTATTAGAATGAGTTAAACTGCTAATCTCTGCTCCTGAATCTGGGGACAGAGATTTAGAAAGTTGGATGTTTGTCATTAACTCTGACCTCAAACCAATATGGCCGCTATTCAAATCAAAGGTAATGATAGCAGCCATAAAACGGAGCGTTCCAGCGGTTAGCCTGTGCCTAAAGTACGGATGTAGGAAAGGTTTGCTGGAGCGGATTCACAGGGTAGATCTGCATCGCGATGCGGATCTAAAACACAGCGATCGATGTGCAGATGAGGACAGGGAGGCAGTTAGGCCGAGGTAATAAATAGCCAACATATGGTGGCTGGATCCTGTCCTCCCCCACTCTATCTGTGTCACCCATACATCCCTCCGTCCCTCTCCTCCTCCGCTCTAACAGACACCAGATATCCCGCCTCGCCCGACCCGCCTGATATAGAAGATGAAGTTAGTTTTCAGCGAGTCTGAGGCGAAGCCGCGCGGCCCGGCGGCCATTCACACCCTGCTGCTTTTATTCTGGCTGCGCTCACAGAAACCAGAGGATTTATAGGCTTTAGGTGGCAGGAGACTCTCCTCCCCCCACTCAGCTCCATCCATCCCTCCATCGCTTAGCGTCTGTCACTGGGTTACATCCTCACACAGGTGCCTCACAGCGGGAGCAAACCTTTGCCCTCCGTTTGGACTGCAGGCCGCGTTTTCAGAGTTTTCCAGATGCTTTGCTGAACCCCTTAAATCTGCAGATCTTCCCGTCTGTTTATTAGCCTCCTTCTATAAGCTCCTCTGTTCATCTTTACAATTAATGCTTCACCTCTTTATTTCTGGTCCAGTTTGGGTTCTTTTTGGTGCTGAAAACATGAAGTTTTTCAACTAGATTTTAAAATCAATTTAGATCTATTAAAGACTTTAGACAGTATGAGCATTGATGCTGCCCCTCAGGTTGTTAGCTTCTAAAGAGGTTCCCAGACGGACGCGGGTCGGACCTTTCAGCGGCGCTGACCTTTGCAGGGATGTGCAGGAATGCGGGAGCGTCAGCGTTCTGTGTGTGAGATGATGTCTGGAAGCAGATGTAGAAACGTCGGCAGCGTTATTCCCTCCTCTCCTTGGATTTAGGCTCCTTTTTCCGGTCCTTGGTTCTAAAGTCTGACGCTGATCTGGGTTCAGTTCAAACTGAGACCAGATCAGGGTTTTATCCTGCAGCTGACGCCACGTTTAGCTCTAATTGTTCCAATATTACCGCAAGCAAAGAACATATTTATAAAAAATTTAACAAGGAGAGATAAAATAAAATAAATAAGAACGAAATAAAATAAAAATTAAGGGCGGGCCTCAGTGACAGAGTCTATGGAGGACTTAAAGTCAGGCCTAAAATCATATTTATATGTCAAATCATTGCTTTTTATCAAACCATTTGTCCCAGAAGTTCGCCTATATTATGTTTCTTCCTCTATTTGAGTGATAAAAATGACATACTGCAATATTAAAGAAGTCTTAGTTTAAACATAAACTAAACAAACTTCTTTATCTAATAAAACATTAGCAAAGGTTAGAAGATGGAGGGATTTTAATCAAAAAGTTTAAATGAAACGCTTGGTTTCTGTTTTTCACGTCTTGTTTCTCCTTTAGCAAAAAGCATCGGCCTGTTTCTGCCGAACAGCTTCCTCCTCCTGCCGCCATCTTTTGCCGTCTGTTAAACAGTGCTGCCTTTCAGCAGCCAATCAGAGCGCTCCGTCTGTGTGACCATATCAGCGGTCACTGGAACCCACGGATCCAGTTCTAGCGGTTCTCCAGCAGCGATCTCGCGGTTAAACATGTTGGGTTTGCTAGAACCTGAACGCATCACACTGGAAAAAATTTAAATCTAGATAATTCCTTTTTTTTTCTTAAAATAAGTGACTTTTTTCTTGAATTGAGGAAAAAATTAACATTTAAAATAAGAAAAAACTATTATATTGTCTTATTTGAGGTGCATTTTATCTATTTATCTTAAGAGTAAACTCATCTAGCTACTCAAATTAAGGGTAAATACACTAAATTTAGGAAAGTTTTACTTATTTCTAGATCGTTTTGGCAGTGCAATTAGCATCTGGTCCACACTGCAAAAAAACATTTTTTTTAATTTAGTAAATACGTCTTAAATTCAGTATATTTACTCTTATTTTGAGCAGGTAAATCAAATGATCTACCAATGGAATGAGTATTTCTATTCTTAAAGTAAGATAATTAGATAATATGCACCTGAAATAAGACGATGCAGTTATGTTTTCTTATTTTAAATGTTAATTTTCTTGTTCCATTGGCAAAATGTCTCTTTTACCTCCTCAATTCAAGAAAAAAGGCCCTTATTTTAAGAAAAACTGACTAATCTAGATTGGGATTTTTTGCAGTGCAGCCTTGGCGCCGCTGACTCTGGGTCAGAACCAGGTTCTCGGTCAGTTTTAGCTCCAGCAGACCAGAATTCTCGCCTCGTCTGTATTTGAACAGCAGAAGCTAACATCTGCTGGGTTTGTTCTCTTCCCAGCAGTCATGGAGAAGCTTCAGGAGGAGGAAGGAGCCAGCAGGCAGGTGGACATGGAGGACGGGCTCCTGAAGGAGGAGGCGACGCTCAACGAGCTGAAAGATAGCAGAGACGCCTCCATCACGGAGGAGCCGGACCCGGCGAGGCCGCCGGTGACATCTGCTTCTCCAGCTGCCATCAACGGAGCCAAGGAGGGAGCAGAACCGCTCCAGAACGGAGACCTGTCCTCCATCAACGCCATGATGTCAACGGTGATGTCAGCCGCCGGGACGATCAACGGAGGAGGAGGAAATGAAGGAGAGAGCGGCGTTCCTTCCACCAGCTCCTCGGCTGGACCTTCTCCCAGGTCAGACTGAAGCGGCTCTATGAGCTTTATCTCCTTTTTTAAACAACTTTCTCATTTCTGATCTGATTTTATTTAAATTTTATTTAGAAAAATATAAACGTGAATAATTTAATACATTTTTTTAAACTTTTGTATTAGATTTTAATTATGAGACGTTTTTTCTACCTGACTGGAATCCTGAGGAGGACCAAGTTTAATCCCTTTGGACCGAAATCAGTTTATGATGATTATTAAGACATCGGCTAAACTAGGGTAGCCTCTGGAAATAAAATTCAATTCTATTCAGTTTATTTCTATAGCTCCAATTCACATCATGTCATCTCAGGTCACTTTATAGATCCAGATCAACCAGATCATC